TTAGGCTATGTCGCGAATGTCGTCCTGTCGGATTTTACATCGTGGATTGTTTGCGGACTCTGGGACCGATTAGAAGAAGCGGAGAGGCGGTCAGTGTATGACATGGTATGAAATAAAGCTAAACAGGACTGGCATTCTCTACTCATTTACAATTCCCTGGTTGAGGTCCTAGGGATAGTACGACACAGTGGCTTAAAACGTTATCAGACCTGTCTCAGAATCGAGGACAGTGGCGGTCCTACGGTAGTTTTCTTTTACCTTCTTCATATAAATGAAGGGAATTTTTAACCGAAGGAATACTTTTTGGTTGTATTTTCTTAAGTGAACCGCTTCTCCCATTATTATTGTGAATATTATAACTTTCATTCTCGTACACTAATTTCTATTAATTTTTGTTCTTTTTTCTATCTCTTGACAATCTCATTCTTAATGTGTGTGGTATATAAATACTTTGGCGTCTCTTTATACCAATATTTATATGTTTAAATAAATAGTTACTGACTGTTGAACTGATTCGTGTAGGTAGGTGAAGACTAGCTAGTTTGGGCTTTGTCTCATTAACATAACCAGTGGTTGAAGAGATTGGGTAAAATGGATCAGAATCGGTCAAAGTGAAGAAGATGCATTCACTCTTTGTCTTCACACATAATTTTTAAAATTATTTTGTACTTTTTATTTCATTAATTTTATCCTTTCTTCTCGCAACATAGTGTCTAATCTCTTCTACTTCTCACACTGATAGTGTTACTCATTCTACTAGTCTAGCGTTTATCTTGATAATTCCATCTCGTTGTGCTGAATGATATGAAGTGTGGTAATTTGAACCGAAGAACATATATGCCAGGTTTCTTATTACTGAGTGACTGACTGAAGTGGATAATAATAACCAATATACTGAAATGTTGTAAGTATATTTTAGCATTTAAAAATGTTTGACCTCAAATGTCTTAGTATAGAGGATTGTGAAATAAGTTCGCTCTCTCTCTAGAAATGTATACATAAAGCGACATATTTCCAGACACTACTTAATGACTTTACGTGACATTAATGCTTTTAGGAAAGAAAGATGATAAAAAGAGAACACTCGGCACTAAAAGAGAGGTAAGTAAGGAATTATCCCTCATCAAAGTCTGTGGAGAACAATAAGATGGGCGGGGACGTTATGGCTAATCAGTAGTAAAAAGAAACTTTTCAGAAACATTTAGAAAAAGGGAAGAATTATGTGTCACGATTTGATTAAGCAGTTGTCTCAATCGCCACTATATTTAGCGTGTTGCTAGAAAGATCTAACAGATTAACATAATATAAAACTCTTAACATACACTGAACTTCTTGTACAGAACTAACCTTAGAGTAAAAAGATCGTACTGACATTTCGCTCCTTATCTCTATTGCTTGAGTTGAAGTGTGGAGGTAGTGGGTAAGAAGTTATGAGTAAGTGTTTCCGTAGTAGACTTATCATTCACTACCTTACTAACTGGTTTCTTACCTTTACTCACTACTCTGTATCTTTATTGTCTTAACATGCGCTTCGAAGGTATGTACGATCGGGTATTAGTAACCTAAGAATTTTTGTTATTTTTAAAGATCAGGTTTCACAGAACTAAATTAGAACAATATGAACTGTTGAAAAGTACTAGACAAATCTCTCACCTATTCTAGAAGTGACGCAATAAAATGTTAAAATCGAATGGGATTTTCTAAATTGGTGTCAAGATTTTTTTATTTTAGATATCAACCCAATAGATTTTTAAAATCTTACAAGATAAGTAAAGTGATTAATCCGTTTAGTAACTTCACTTTTTATCATTAAGTCTCAAATTCAGATCCTATTCATAATTAATTCGATTTTAGCAACTGGATATAGCATCATTTATACTGTCATCTAAACCATAGTTCAAAGTGACCTATATGCTTGTCTGTGTGTGTATAGAGGGGTTGGTTTTTTCAGATTGGTAGAATAATCATGTTTTGCTAACATTAAACACAATACAAGGTTACAATAACTCAGATAATCTGTTTATTTGTTTTATTGAACTCATGAGAGATTCTATAATAAATGTGTATTTGTTATTCTCCATTCATATTCAGGTTAATCATGATGGTAGTAAGGTTATTTAATTTGTTAATTTAATAGAGAGTTAGTTTTTGAAGGACGAATGTTATATGATTACAGAGTGGAATGAAACGCAGTTTAATAGTATGAAATAGTTGCCTCATTAATAATAAATAAATAAATAAATAAATAAATAAATAAATAAATAAATAAATAAATAAATAAATAAATGTAGCTTTATATCGTATGCACAATTAGCTCTGTTATATCCGAATGAAGAATAAATGAATGGTAACTGCTAGGGATTATTTATGAACTACAATCACGTCGGAGTGGCCGAGCGGTTTAGGGCGCCAGACTCGAGTGTTCTGGTCCACGGTGTGGGCGTGGGTCCGAATCCCACTTCCGACACATACTTACCACCCCCCGAATGCCTTGGTACAGCCAAGGGTGGGAAGAGTCAGCTCTTTCTCGGAATGCTCTCATATGACTACGCGTATACAACCACTGATAGGGAAGTCCTATTCACTGCCTTCTCACCCCACGGATGTTGTTTAATAAATTGAGAGGACGAAAAGCGAATGTCCGACGCTTTAACCGGGGAGTTGAAAAACTCTCATTCCAAACTAATGGTGCACATGGGCTCCAGGATCCTAACAGAACAAATGATGTATGAACCTATTGTTGGTCACCGGCCACCATGGGACTGCATCTCCTAACGTTGCTCCACTGACTTGTGGATCAATCCTTTAGTTCGAAGGCTCTGGGTATGTCCCCTTAAGTAAACCACCTGCTTCGGTCTGGGCAACCGGGCAGTATCACAGACCACACACAAATCGGATGATTTGTGTGGCGCATATGTATTCGGTGCCCCTTTGTACCAATATTTATGTGTCCAAATAAATAAATAAATAAATAAATAAATAAATAAATAAATAAATAAATAAATAAATAAATAAATAAATAGATGGACTATTATTACGAATATTCTTATGAGATAATTATTAAGTACCTAGAATATACATATATTCATATTCCTTTTATCGTAAGCTTTCATTCGACCTATAGACTACTATTATATGACTTACTATTCTTAAATTATTCCTAATTTATTAGTTACAGTCTCTCACAATCACAGACACTTTTTGGCTTGATCTTGTATAATCATTATTTTTCATTTTATGGTGTGATACGATCTGATTTACTTGCATATAAATCAAGTATGTCTAGAATATATGATTCATACATCAGAAGCTGGTATTTGTGTTGTGAACTCAACAGGCTGAGCTAGGCGAGAAGTTACCACACAGAGGACCAATAAGTACTCAGAATTGACTCAAGGCTGCTCCTGTTGGTTAACGCATCATTGATTTAGTACAGGGACAAGGTCATATAAAACGGTGTTTTGACTGACGATTTTGTCATAGGACATAACAAGTTTAAGATGTTGGCTGGTAATTTGTGTGAAATGTTTAAGGTTTCGAATTCATATGAACCTGAAGAGAACAAGTTCAATGTGAGACTTAAAGGTCTTGAATTGTATTATTAAGGATACTATTAATAGATGCTCATTGCTGATAGTTGAAATATCTAGCTATATAATGTATTCGTTGCTTTTCTTTTCAGTTGTCCAACTGATATTAAACCATGACTAATTGATTATTTTAAATTTAAGTCTCTAATAAAATGACAAATAATGAAGATTTTATGTTCTTTTGAGCTGTTAAGCATTATTATTCATCATTATCATGTGTATATAAGCTAGGATACTATATGGATGCCTAAACCATGGTGTGCGGGTTTTTTTAATAGCCCAACCTGGAAGTCTAACTTGCAAGACAGTGGAGCAATGTCAGAGAATACAACTTTATATAGTAGTCGTATACCAGAATTGGTTCTCACTCCGATTGTTACCTCGAGATCCTCCAGTTTATGCATGCCATTAGTTTATAATAAGTATTTTCCAGCTTTTCTACGTGAATCTTTTGTAATGACCTGATAAGTCTGCTAGTGAAACACTTACTCCTAACTTCTTACCCACTACCTCCACACTTCAACTCAAGCAATAGAGATAAGGAGCGAAATGTCAGTACGATCTTTTTACTCTAAGGTTAATTCTGTACAAGAAGTTCAGTGTATGTTAAGAGTTTTATATTATGTTAATCTGTTAGATCTTTCTAGCAACACGCTAAATATAGTGGCGATTGAGACAACTGCTTAATCAAATCGTGACACATAATTCTTCCTTTTCTGTCAGTGATCCTGGGAAGCTTCTATTCAAAGCTGACTAGATAAAACGCTTCTATGAGTTTTCTAGGATCCTAGAGACTATGCCGAAGGATGTGTTTGGAATCTGCAACAGTGAATGTTTATTGACTGAGGAGTTTGGAACACGTTTTATATATACCAACCATTGCCTACCTCAACAAATAATATTTGCTAACGTGGGTTGGAGGAAAGATAGGGGTAGTCAAATCGAAACGTAATATGAATCCATAAAGTGAGTGACTGTTAGACCAAGCTATGTAAGTAAATATAGACTATCTGGTTGGGGTCCTTGTAATTATCGTAACCAGTGGAAAAGTAGATGCATTAACTGTTTATCCTGAAATACTTATACTTTCTGTTCCATTAATTTATTTTATTTTCTCGAGTTATATCGTCAATGACTAAACTATTCTACTACTAACAACGATAATGTTACTAGTTCTACCACTCTGGTATATGTTTTGATAGTTTTATCTCGCTGTACTGATACTAGTTGTGCAACTTGAACCGATGTAAGTCAGTAGGGACTTTGAACTTGGTTAGTTAAGATATAATACCTTCAATTACTAGTTCACAAATTCGAGGCCGAGATCTCACGAAGAACGAGAAGAAGAAGGGTGGAAAGATAAACAAACTAATAAGGAGAAAGACAAAAAAATGCATTCAATAAAACTACCATATCATTTGTACTAAATGCTGAAATTGATGCCGATACGCCGAAATCAGTTAACTTCACCAACCAACCACGTGATAATGCCAATAAATTAGCCAATGAACGTTGACAAAACGCTGATTGACTACCCGTACTGCATAACCAATTATGATCTGGTAAATCCATGGTACCATTTGGACTGCCAAAACCACTTAAACCACAGCCTGGTGCAGGTGTTAATAATAAATTAGCTGGTTTAATATCGCGATGTATAACACCGTTACGATGAAGAAAATGTAAACCGTCTATTAACTAGAAAAGGAAATGCAGAGGGCGAGTGAGGAATGGAAAAAACGACGATAGTACAGAAATATACTATATATATATATATATATATATATATATATATATATATATATATATATATATATGAAAGTCGTCAGTTGGATGTGCCTGCATCCGTGTTGACGTTTCCACTGAGACTCGAACTCAGTACCATTATACTCACTGAACAATCTAATGGTTATTCGGATTCAGTGGTTTAGTTAATAGCTCTTTGGGTGTTAGAAGTGAAAGATACTAGGTTTAAGTCTTAATGTGAATATAAAAATACTGAGATCCAGGCACAAACAGATGACAAGCCGCACAATGGACGAAACGCCCATTCTGGATTCCACGGTTAGTCATATACTGAATATACAAAACTTGTGGCATAATGCTACATGGAGGTAATATCAGGATCTACATATGGCAAAAGGTATTGATCAACTGTAGACCTGAATATCAACAACGGGAAATTAAAAAAATCTTAACAATATAATTCACAGGATTTACGATGAGTTCTTTTATCCCCATCAAAAATATGTCTCTATTTGTGATAATACACTTGGTCTATCTCCATTTGAATTGATTAAAAAATGGACAGAAGGATTCAAAAGTTAGACTATTCAATTAGCTCAGTCTTACTTCACATATTAATTTTACATTACCTTCATGACACATGCCCCTTGCATGACCATTTGACATTTCGGAAAGAAAACTATTAGTGAATAATGTGAGGATGTGTGACGGAATTACCCAAGTGATTTTAAAATAAAATTTTTTATTATCATATATATATATATATATATATATAAGAATAGTTAGAAATTAAGATTGAGAGTCATAGTTCCAGATTTTATCACAAACTGACATCAGCTATAATGCAAGGATTATAAACTTCATATTTTTATGTCAAATCTTAACATGATGAATTATAGATTAATCTTCCGTTTCCTGATTAATTAAATGGCTTAAAATTACAAAAGTTATTCGACGGTATAGTATAGGTTTATCTGTCCAACACTAATATTTTTATTCTATGGAATTAAAAAGTAATGTTTTGCTTCCAGGTTTTCCATGATGGTCAAACTTTAATCGACTCATGATTTCAACTATGGAAAATCTGGCTAATTGTTTAAAATGGTTTATTTATGCTAGGATTTAAGTGAATTTAGACTAAATGAGCTAGTATTTAGTTGTTTATTGACATCATCAAAATAGAGTCAAGATGTGGAGTTAAAGTATTTTTCATTACAGGCAAATATAACCTATAATGCGAAAATTCTAAACTCTATCTCATAAGTCCTAGTATAAGAAATCGTTCATTTATCTCCACAGTCTCCTGACTGGCTAAAACTAGTCAAAATCTGAAGGTCGTTTGCCCTTATCCCTCCCCTCAGCTGGGAGCAGGAACAAGGAGAAAGCATAGGATCCGAATAATAATAAAATTCAAAATTTACATCACGAAATGATCTTGATTGGCCAAGCACTAAAAATTAGAATGGGTCGGACGGCTGTATCGTTCTAGTAAGGATCCACAACCCTAATTCAAAGGGGATCCGGTATAAGATTTTCAGGTGGACGTCTAACCTTTCAAAGTAATTGAATCGGCAGCATCCAACGTTTTACATGTTCAGCCTCAACCAATTCGCTAATATCATCATTATTGTTATTATTAGTTCGCGGTGTAAATTATGAAACTCAATAATCAACACAAACTACCTATAGGGAAAAGATAATAATGATTTACCTGTAAAAAGTAGGCATGCGCTTGTGCTTCAGGAAGTCGACGAAATTGTTGTTGTTGTTGAGAGGATGTACGTTTTCTTGTTGGTTGTTCTATGGATGATGTTTTACGACTTTTTGATTTATTAAATTTTGTATCTGTTTCTTGATTGATCTGCGTAGATCCCATTGATAATCTAGGATGAAATCGACGAGATTTATTCAACTTTTCAGAAGAATCAACATTTTTTCTTTTATCTTTTGAAATGTTTTCATTTAATACAACATCTGATGATTGTCCATGTTGATGTTTAAAATATGATAATCGTGGAGAGGATGATTTAGCATTGAATTCATCTAATTCAAATTCATTTTCTGAACTTAAAGCTGTATGAGATGGTACACCGGAAGCTTGTAAATCATGTACTGATCCAAGACAATGCTCCATAACTAAACATAATCTATCTGGATTTTCTAGTCGTAATACAACAACTAATGAAACCACATGTCGACAAGCAGATAATCTTCGCATTAAACTAGCTTCATGTAATGCTTGACTCCAACCACCGGGAATTTTTCGTACACCTAGTTTACTAATAATTTTTACAGCATGACGTCGAAGTGTAAACAGATCAATAGAATCTTTTACCTGAATAAACAAAATAAAATATTATAACTTTTTTAGAAAAACCAAATAAAAATTATAAATATCTTATGTAGTATTCACGAATAAACAAGTATCGAAACATATAACGTGGAATCTGGTGGGCAGCAGTCAAATTAAAAACAGTGATCTAGTTCAATTATTGACCGTTTAGGATTCTACTGATTGAGTTCCAAAGTATTTCAGGTTTTAATACACTTTTTATTGTTATTATTGTTGTGATAATTAAATTAATCCATAGTGTCGTTGAATAAGAGGAAGAGAATTCAGTGAAAAAAATCTTCCTTTCGACGAAATCATCCACTTAAGCTGTACATTTGTATATATAGTTATATGGAAAATATATGTCTATAGGAGGATAGAAAAGATTGCATCACAAAAATCGATTCGAGAATAAATAACAAATGAGGTCACGTACTAATCAAGGGGTAAGGATTCTAACTAAGACTCTGGAAATTTCCTCTCGAAGGTAGTCACTAGTAAGCACATGATTTCAATGAAACTCAACAATATTCACAACTTTTTACTGATAACATTTGGAAGCTGGTAATTTTGATAGGAGATACAAGTTAACCGATCTATCTAATTTATCCAATCAATCAATAAATTAAAATGCAAATCAGTGTGATGAAATGGAAGAAAAATCTCGTTTAGGAGAGAAATTAATCTACAGGATTTCAGTATAAAGACTGGATGATACGATACATGAAACCTACTTATCAGTCAAAAGTCAGATAAGAATGCATAAAAATTCACTTTACACAATGAGGTTATAAACTTATTTTGTACGATGGATGTTATTATCATTACGACTACTAATCATTTCTATGCTTCATTTTTCGTAAATTAAAGATTACATTAGTTGCTTACAAATTATTGATACTATTACACTTTACTAACTGACTACACAGAGTTTAATCAACTGTTAAATATCGAATACTTATCATTTACCATTACTGAGAAACACCTTTGTATCACTTGGTATTGTTTGACTTGTATCTTCCCATTGAGGTTTAAGACTGCAATTGATCAGTCTGTTATTGGCATATGTGCATACTGTGCGTATGCCTCGATATTGCCTTAATTCACAAGCTTTTTGTAAGCAATGATGGATAGCGGCTAGCAGTGGAATTCAGGACGCGCGTTTCGTCCTGGGTTCGAGTTCCAGAGTGAACATCAACTCTGAGATGTAGGTACATCCAGCTGATGAGTCCCAAATAGGACGAAACGCGCGTTCTGGACTCCACTGCTAGCCACCATCCATCATTGCTTACAAAAAACTTTGTATCAGTTCAATTTAGTATAATTAATATCTTTATCTATAGTGGTAAACCGGAACTATAAGAGTGAACTAATGATGATGAATGTATAAATCTCTCTAAGGTCACGGAATATATTTTGAATCAACAATATGTCTACTCGATTAATAAAATAGATTATTTGACTAAGTTATTGTTACTTCTTGATTGTATTATGAATAATTAAATTCAAGAAAATATCTTAACCTACTTTAATGATGAAAAACATCATTAGATATTTGAATTAAGAATTAGGATTGAGATTTAGGTATTCAGTTTGGAATTATATTGTTATAGGAGTGATTAAAATGAAGAGTTAAGGCGTAGAGTTTATTATTTAGGATTAAGAAATTTGGGAACATATATTGACTAACTGTAAAACCCTTAAATTCTAGCTTTAAACCATAATATTTAACTGGTTGAAATCATGAGCCAATTGAAGCTAGACCACCATGGAAAACCTGGAAGCACTGGGCGGTCGTCGAACCCAGGACCTATCGGTCTCGCGCCAGGCGTTCAACCAACTAGACCACAGGGCCGGCATCCAACGGTGTTAATGTTCGAATCTCGCGGGGGGCGGGATCGTGGATGCGCACTGCTGAGGAGTCCCATACTGGGACAAAATGGCCGTCCAGTGCTTCCAGGTTTTCCATGGTGGTCTAGCTTCAATTGACTCATGATTTTAACCAGTGAAATTTCTAAAAATCTCCACAAAACCCATTCTGATCATAATATTGAACTTGAATTCTAGTTTTGGAATTATAAATCGCTGATTTACATGAACTTGCTGTTTTCTTATTCAGATAAATGTGTGTTAAGAGTTTGTCAAAATTATTTAGAAATTTGTTCAAACTCCCTTTTATAGTTTAGCTTGAATTAAAAAATACAATAAACTACAAGGTGGTACGTTATTCTAGAAGTTGAACAAGACAATCGGGAAAAAGCCACCAACATAAATTCTAGTAATATATAGTATACGACAAGCAATGGAATTTCGTATGTATGTTCCATTCTACTTGAAACTCGTTAAATGAATATACCTGTCACATCCTAATATTGATGTTGTGCACATTAAGATTCAGACCTAGTACCCAATGCTTTAAACGGCTAACGTGTGGTTCATTTAGACTACTGAGTACCGGCAGCCAATAACTTGTTCAACATAGTGTTATTAAATGTTATTATCAGAACATAATATAATAATGGAAGTATTTACAGGTGTACAATACAATGAATTACAGTATTTCAGCCATATTAGAGTCCTTTTTTCAACAGAAATGAGAGGGATTTCCTGGAGAAAAAAAAATCTCACAATGAATTAATTTTTTCGTGAGATATTTATTTTCAGAACGGGTTTTGTGGGGATTTTAGTAATTTCAATAATTGAAATCATGAGTCAATTGAAGCTAGACCACCATGGAAAACCTGGAAGCACTGGACGCCCGTTTCATCCTAATATGGGACTCCTCGTGGACTGGTTGAAGTTAGACATTAACACCGCTGGATGCCGACTCAGACGTTTAATGGTTAAGCGCTCGCGCGCGAGACCGATGGATTCTAGGTTCGAATCTTAGGGGAGGCGGGATCGTGGACGCGCACTGCTGAGGAGTCCCACACTAGGACGAAACGGCCGTCCAGTGCTTCCAGGTTTTCTATGGTGGATATTTATTTGACCAATCTGAAAGGTATTCAATTCTACTTATACATTCTGGACCAAATTTACACAGTAAAATAGTAATGTTGATAGTTAACTATTGAGAATTAGTATGTTTCATAAAACTTGATCGATTTAAATTTTCCACCAACAATTGCTTTATAACTCACTGAATTGTGTAATTGATGTTTATCTTTGACATTTAATTTACTATACAATGATATTAATTAATTCAGTTAGTTTTGCTTCAAATTTTAGACGCCATTATTTTTTGTTTCGTCAGTTTACACATCCCAATTGTGTTAGAAAGTCGGCTATAGGTGTGTGTCTGTGTGGTGGGGGGGAGTGAGATATTTTGTAAAAGTATAAGAAAAGATTAATGAAGTTTCAAAATGTTACTTCAGCGTCACATTAGGTAATTCGAATGAATACATTGAATATCAGTCATCTACCTTCTAATACCGACAATAATGAAATGGAATACAAGGTAAGGAACTGTTTGGGAAAATTAATTTTTTGTGATTGTGTTGCAAAAAATAAGACAAGTGGAATATTAAGATAAATGTGATCATGTTATACCTTAGCGCTAACTACGTAGGCATAGGAAGTCTTGGTAAGAGCTGACTTTATTCTTACTATTTTATTTATTCATCTGGACCATAAATATTGGTACAAAGGGGCACCGAATACATATGCGCCACACAAATCATCCGATTTGTGTGTGGTCTGTGATACTGCCCGGTTGCCTAGACCGAAGCAGGTGGTTTACTTAAGGGGACATACCCGGAGCCTTCGAACTAAAGGATTGATCCACAAGTCAGTGGAGCAACGTTAGGAGATGCAGTCCCATGGTGGCCGGTGACCAACAATAGGTTCATATACCATTTGTTCTGTTAGGATCCTGGAGCCCATGTGCACCATTAGTTTGGAATGAGAGTTTTCCAACTCCCCTAGGTGGTTTCTCCATATCCACCAACCCGGTTAAAGCCTCGGACATTTGTTTTTCCTCCTCAATTTCTTAAACAACACCCATGATGCGAGAAGGCAATGAATAGGACTTTCCTGTCAGTGGCTGTATACGCGTGGTCATGTGAGAGCATTTCGAGAGGGAGAGTGGACTCTCTCCACCCTCAACTGCAACAGGCCATTTGAGGGAGATGGAAAGTGACTTGTAGACAACTAATACTTTTTTTTTAAAATAATGAATTGGACCACATAAACACTGATAAATGATGCAGTTGTCTTTATTGATGCAAACCAAGTCAAAAAAGGGCAATAGTATTAACATTGTTGAGAAGTGTGAGCAGAAATGTTGATGAGAGAAACACTGTTTATAGGTGGGATGGGTTGAATCATAAGAATTGAAGAAATAGTCCTTTGGAAAAGAAAGTATGGTAGAGAAAAAATTATTTAGACAGAATTAGTAAGTGGTAAGCTTTTCAGTAATATGAATGAATTCTTTAATATTTTTACTAACTGTCCTCTGATTGGCTAAAGATGGTAAAAAAAACATCCTTGAAGGTTATTTAAAAACCGCTTAAGGTCACAACTATTATTACTTTAGTCCTGTCACACTATTTCAGCAATTGAAACACTAGGCTAGTTATCATAATTATTCCAATGGGTGTGAGTAATATTAACAGCAGGAAATTGATCAAAAGGACTTCTTTTCAAAGAACTTAGTATCATGCTATACAATTGTATATACATATATATGAACGTTTAAGGAACAATTTTGTGGGGAAATATAGACAATAAATATAAGTGATGTAATAGATTTATTGGAAAAGGAAAGAAATTACTTCACTGAATTTTATGTTTTTAAGTAGTATCCACTGTTTTTTTACACTCCAAAACAAGTTAGTAAATCATACACACACACACACACACGTATTTCAGGAATAACACACAGGCATATCATATTCTAAGGCATCATAGTACTTCATTGAAAGATAAATATTATGATTATGCGAATATCAATAATCAATAATTGCCGGAAATTATTTAATGTTTAGAAAATTTAAGAAAAAGATTTGTAAGAGATAGAGAGATCTATTATCTCCATTATTCTTTGCCGGACTTTTGAGAAAAGATTTTGCTGTATTGCGGAGAGTGCTGAAGGCAGTTAGCAAGGTGTGTGGTGAATCTTTCGAGGTCATAATTAATATTGGTTGTGGTTAGACATCTAGTCATGCAAACTCCTGGTAGGTGTTATTTTATCAGATACTAACCATCCCCTTCACTCTTATCTTTCTCCTTGTTTATCTTCTTCTGGTAGAACGAGACGTAATTACATTAAAATCCATGCACGCAACCAAAAGCATAAAAGTTCTATAATACCTTACCTAGCAAATATACTCTGTGACGAACAGGTTGTTATAGTTAACCTAGTCAATAACCTGCATTCTTAACATGTCTCTAATTTGAAAAGTTGTACAGTTTTTCGGGTTTTTTAAACCTTTTTTGTCTTTGTTTCTGTTTTTCGTGTGTGTAAGAAACTTGTTGAAATACCCTGTGGTGAGAATTTCTATATTGTACCCGAAATATAATATTGAATAAAGCCACTAATTATTAGTTAATAATAATCTATGCACACAGAGAGAGAGAAAGAGAGAAACCACCACGTGTTGTCATTTGGAGTCATAAATTATGTAAGTCACAAGACTGAGTACATTTGTAAATAATAATAGTAACAATAGTAATGATAATAATACTAATGTGAAAACGAAATTATGTTGATATATTTTATTGCCTTGACAAAAAGTACATCAGTTTCTTTGAAATACGAAAAAAACCCAGATAACTGCATACCAATGTTTATTTACACACTATGGACATTAAACCATATATATATATATATATATATATATATATATATATATATATATATATATATATATATATATTTTATTGTGATAAGCAAATTTATCACAATTACTTACTTACTTACGCCTATTACTTCTAATGGAGCATAGGCCACCGACCAGCATTCTCCAACCCACTCTCTCTTGAGCCTTCCTTTCCAGTTCTATCCAATCGTTGTTCATTCTCCCCATGTGTGTCTCCGTAGGTAGGTGGAGGCTTTGTAGTTCGAGTTTTACATCGTTATCGTAACCAGTGATTAAGGCAAATTCACATAGAATATATGGAATGTGGCTAGTAGTGATGTCCAAGACGCGCATAACGTTCTATTTATGACTCATCTTTGGCCGGATGTACCTGCATTCCAGAGTTGATCTTCACCCCAGGATTTATACTCAGAATCTTGTGCTTCAGACGCTAACACGTTATCCACTCACCTACTGGGTCCTGATAGCTACTAACTTATCTTAAATAGGAGGAAACGCGCGTCTTAATTCCACTGTTAACCAAATTCCATCAATTTTATGTAAATCAATACAAATCTTTAGTTAATAATAATATCTAATACGAAAATATTTTATCATTTTCTGTATTGAAATTTTTACAAAAAATAAACAGGATCTAGAAAGTACTACCATCCTCACTTCAATAATAATGATTACAATCAACTAACAGTCATCAACACTGTCAGTCAAACAAATAAGTTTAATAAACAAATCGACCAATCAATCAATCAATCCATTCATTCAACTACTACTGTTGTGTATACTACTTATGTCGACAGACATAAGTGGTATGTAACATCAATCGAAAGTGGAAAACCTGACAACAGAAGGTAAGGATCAAGTTGAAGAGAATAAAAGAAAAAATATAAAGAAATTATGAACTAGAAGAGTCATATAGAATATGAAGGACAAATGATGGAAATTTGCAAATGAAATATTCAGTGTATGGTTCTTATACCTTTCTTACTAAGAGAGATTGTGTAGTTTTGTATTTAAATACATCGGTCGACCCCCACCACCACCACCACTTTATGTTCTCGTTCACAACACTATTGAATGGACAACTAATCGGTCAATTGATCGATTAGTTAGTCACATATTCAATTATTGTATATAAATAAGCAGGAAAAAAAGAGACCGAGAAAGAGATGCATAGTTTTTTTCTATACTTATGTTCATCAAAATATTTACAATATTAAATAATACACTGCAATACATTTCATTTGAATGAAGAGAGAGAGAGAGAAAGAAAGAAAGAAGGAGAAAGACAAATCATTTATTTTTGTTGTTACTATAGCCATTAGTGTCATGTATGCGTGTGTGTATAAGAGCATTCGTTACTATAAGATAAAGAAATTTCGTTCAAAATAGAATGATTGAACGTTGAATGGATAGATAGATAGATAGATAGATAGGTGGATATGTTTATGTAATAAGTGAAAGAGTCTATTTTTTTTATGAACTAGAATTTACTGAATTCATATCATGGAAGGGGGTGGGGTGGATGATAGATTAGAATTAGAGAGGTTTTATCAATTAATTGACTATAAGTGGATTGCTAAATTATGAATATCCTGTTTGTATTCCTTTTTTTTGTGTATGCTAAATCCCGTTCAAATGAATATAGATATAAAAAAAGGATCGAATCCGTGTATAAATTTGAAAGATGTATCGAGTAGATAAAATGATGAAAGGAATTCGCATCAGCCTATTTTACAATATTGGTTATTTATATTTTATAGTACACTATGTTGTACCTGAGAAAATTGTAAACATCATACGGAAATTGTGCGACGAACTACACTGGTGTCGTGAATGGAGGACAACTCATTATTATCTTATTTAAACACATAAATATTGGTACAAGGAGTTACCAAATATACATGCGCCACACTCCGTCATACAGTTTGTGTGAGGGCTAGAATACTGTCCGAGTGCACCTAAACAGGTGGTTTTATTAGGAGGCTAATCCACAAGCCAGTGGAGCAACGTAAGGAGATGCGGTTCCATGATAACCGATGTTCAACAGTGAGTTCATATCCCATTTATTCTGTCAAGATACTGGAGCCCATATGCACCATTCGTTTGGAATCAGGGTTTGCCAACTCATCTAGATAAATCCTCCATATCCACCAACCTGGTAAAAGCGTCGGATATCCGCTTTTTGTTCTCTCAATTTCGTAAACAACACCCCCGCCACGAGAAGGTAGTGAGTAGGACTTTTCTGTCAGTGGTTGCATACACGTGGTCATGTGAGAGTATTTCGAGAGGGAGAGTTGACTCTCCCCACTCTCTGCCATACAAGGGCATTTGGGGGCTATAAGTTTAGTGTCAAGAGGACAGCTCACAGACCCATTCTAAGCGAGGACCGGAGTCAGACAAGGCTGTTTACTCTCACCATTCTTCTTTCTCCTGGTGGTCGACTGGATTATGAAGACCTCCACATATGAGGAGGAGTACGGAACACGATAAACAGCTCGGATGTAAACAGACGACTCGAACTTCGCAGATGACCCGGACCTTCTGTTCTATGCACATCAACAAATGTAGGTTAAGACAACCAGTGTAGCAGAAACTCCTACATCAGTAAGCCTCAACATACACAAGGGAAAAACCAAGATCCGCAAATACAACACAGAGAACAACAACCCAACTAAACTTGATGTAGAACCTCTGGAAAAGGTGGAAAGTTCCACGTATCTGGGCAACATCATCGATGAACAAGGAGGATCAGATGCAGACGTAATGGCGAGGATTGGCAAAACAAGGGCATCATTCCTACGATTGAGGAACATTGTTAGATATTTCCATAACTAATCAATCAAATTGTTGTTTAAGCGTCCACCACGTTGAACTGGTCTTATGTGTCTGTAAACTATCCCTGTTGCATGTGACTTACCAATTGAAAGAAATTATTATCCTATTATATTAATGTGACTCATAATTTTATCCATTTCGATAAGACACGCAATACTGGTCGAAACAGATCAAGTTTAAAGCCAAGTTGTCCTTGTTCTAACTATAGCTTCCACATAGACTCGGTACTCGCCAGTATCGCGTTTACGGTTCTAGTAGTATATCCGTAGGACAAATTAAATCCTACAAATATATGGGACTGAAAACAACTGTCAACTAATATCAAAGTGACAATCTTCAATACGAAAGTCAATACAGTTCTACTTGGAGAACTGCCACAAATATCATCAAACATGTACGAGTATTGATAAACAATTGTCTACGCAAGATCATCGATGTCCGTTGACCGGATACCATCAGCAACAGCCTACTGCGGGAGAGAATAAACCAGCTTCCAGATGAAGAGGAAATTAGGACAAGATGTTGGAAGTGGATAGAATATACATTTCATAAATCATCAAACTGCATCACGGTGCAAACCCTAACGTAGAATCCTGAAGGTAAACGGAAAAGAGGAAGACCAAGGAACACACTGCACCGGGAATGGGAAGCAGAAATGAAAAGGATGAATAGCAACTGGAAAGGATTGCCTAGAACAGAGTTGGGTGGAGAATGCTGGTGGGTGGCCTATGCTCCTCCACGAGGGGTAACAGGCGTAAGTACGTTTTGCAGTACTGTCGTTTTTCTATTCTCTTATCTACATCTCTATTTGGAATTAGGTATAATTAAACAAAATTATTTAGAAAAGCTTAGTACAGGAATTTGTACTCTTAGTATTGAGGGACTCCATTGATCACAGCTTCTCACTAAAACTTTAGTAATCACTTGATTTCCAATGGTTGTATAACTAATATTAATCTGTGGTGGTGAACTGTTACTTACAAAAAAATTTACATTAATTGTGCACAGAATATCGATGATGTCAGTTTGTTTTACTAAAAGCAGTTTTTAACCAACCATGACAATTAATCAGATAAGTAGTGGTTCAACAAGTAGCGACAGTAGCAGTAATAGTAAAAAATGACAAGTGTATTATGTCATTTGTCAGAAAAAAAAGATTAATTAATTAACGAAGAATGGCGCAAAAGATGAACATGTATTCTCCACTGGTACGCACACACACACACACACACACACATAGATATGTAGAGTGGATTAAACTCGAAAAACTACTATTTCGGTGCTAATGGAGTGCATGAAATGCAGTAAAAAGTACTTATACACATGTATACAGTTGAAGGGAACAACCCCCCTTAAAACCTATTAATCAATAATTAGTTGGATGATTTTTCTTCTTGGAAAAAGATTCCAAATTATTATTCATCGACATTAACAAACATACAGATTAGCCTATGAATATAGATTCTATGCATAGATTACTAATATTGGCTTTAAATTATTACTCCAGTATAGTGACGGAATTATCAAGTCAATATTGAATGATATGTGAATTAAAATAGGAACTGATTGATGTACCCTTGAATTTCTATCAACTGAGATATTTTGACACATAGTAGAAAGGTTAATTTGAAGAGTAATCTAGCAGATGTTAAAACAAGATATAGCAAAAAAATCATGAATTTGCTGACTGTTTGCACTGAGGTATGTCGAAAGGTAAAGACTTTCTAGTTGATGTATGTATATCTTGGGAGATCACAAGTGGCATAACTTAAAACTAGCGGCAAGTTCAGGTCGAATATCGAGTTACTACCGTGTTGATGAAAACACAATATATGCGATCTTTCGTCATTCTAGATCTTACTTAGTCTTTCTGTTTAGGAAATGGTTGATGAACTGAATTTGAGAAACGTACTGATACCCAAGATTTTACGTAACATGTGAACTGATAAGAACCTCCCGTAATGATTTGAGCAATAAAACTGAAGTTTGAACAAGTGTATTGTTACAATTGGGTAGCCTTTTGAGAAGGAATAAGAATAATGTGATCTAAATATTATGAAATAAAGTTTCTATTACCTCAGTTCATCTATATATTAGACAGTCTAGAATACCAGAATCAAGATAAGTCTTTTAGATAGGATTAGTAATTATTAATGTGATGCTGAATTTTTATAACGGAAGGAGTTAGAAAAAGTTGGGTTCAAAACTTAACACACTCGAAAATGCGCATCAAAGACTCTGAGCGTCAACAGTAAGGTTTAAAAAGCACATAGTTACCCAAATAAAAAAGCTGTGTGTGTATGTGACCGCCCTCAGGCAGTTACCTATTGGGTTCTGCAGTCCCTCTCCTAAATCGACAAGATCATCACTACTACTACCACTCCAACTAATTCAGTTTCTTCTAGAAAGTCCTTCAAAAAGGATTCTCTTTCTACAGTTTAGCCGGATTGTAATTGTCAATCGTCCACACATTTCTAACAGTACATGAGTTGATAATATCTTAATTAACCTTAATAGCTTAGTTTACATATCTCTATTAAACAGATACCATGTACAAGTCACGCATAAACCATTTCAAATTCACAGATTAACAGATAAAATTTTAATCTATTACAAAGCTTTTAATTATTTTTTCTACAGTCAACATAACTTTAATTAAAGTTGTTTTTGGTGATGATAGAGGTTAACAGTTAAACAGTCCAATAAAATAAGGGAACGTGATAAAAATAATTTTTAGCTAGTATCGTGATTATCTTGTCGCTATATATATATTGTGCTGATCTTGTAGTCTCTTAACTGAATAAATTGATCGTGGAGCTGTCATCATTCCTCAGAACAACATCATCGATACGCGATTTGGAAAGAAATGACCTATTGAAGTTTTTCCACAACTGTGACAAACAGCTTGTT